ACCCTGCCATATTATGCTACAGCGATCGAGCGAACGCCCTCAACCGACCTACCTCTACTCAGGCACGTAAAAGCCTTCGCACGTGGGCCGGTAGCTCAGCAGGGATACGCCTACCTGAGGGTGGTGACAGCCCCTCGGGTAGAGGTAAGTTGTACCTCACGACGTCACGACCTGTCGCAGGGCGTCGTGAGAGGTATAGCACGCGCGCACGGTTGGAGTGGTAACTGGTTCTTTTCAGACGAAACATCCTGCGTGACACGACCGTGAGGTTCAGCGCTCCCCAGCAGGCCCAGGACCGCCGCGCGGGACAATGGTGTACCGAAAGACATAGTCAGCGACCGCGACACTCGCTTCATGTCGACATTTTGGACTGCTCTCATGCAGGAGTCCGGCACGAAGATGAAACCAAGTTCGGATCGGCATCCACAGACGGACGGGCAAACGGAGCGAGCACTTTAAACCGCTCAAATAATGCTTCGTACTGTCATCCATCCGGACCAGAAAGATTGGGTTGACCGCCTCCCCGACATCGAGTTCACCTACAACACTTCGGTGTACGCGGCGATCGGCGTGACTCCATTCGAGTTGCACCACGGTGGACTCAAAGGCCGTATCTTCGCCGACCTTCTCCTCCCACGACCAGCCGACATCGACGCCGCTTGCTCTCCCGCTTCCATCCGGAAGTACAGGGAATTGCTGGCTCAAGCCCTCGCGAATATGCAAATGACTCAAGTCTGCATGCAGCAGCAAGCCAACAGGCGTTGCGTGCCATGTCCCATCCGCGCCGGTGATCTGGTTTGGGTCTCCGCGGAAGAGTTTGCACTGGAACAGGATGTTTCACGCAAACTGCTTCCCAAGTGGTTTGGACCATGGCCCGTAACATCAGCCGCGGGCGATGAGACCTATGGCCCTTCATTTGTGATTAACATTCCCCCGCATCTGATGGTCCATCCAGTCTTTCACGCCTCGAAGCTGGCAACATAAACACCAGCTAAGAGCGACGACTTCCTGGGCCGACTGTTACAGGACCCTCCATCTATGGATGGTCATCAGGAAGTTGACCGCGTCATCACGGATCGCAAGTACGGCAGTAAGCCTTGACAGTACAAAGTTACATTCAAAGCATGCGGTTCCAACGACACTCGGTGGATTTCAGGAACAGATTTGAAAGCATCCGCACCGCTGATCTACGCTCACTACGAGCGACAAAGGTTAGCTCAGGGACCTTCACGACCTGCCCCTCCCACCCGGACTGTGGTCCCTCCCTCAGACAGACAGCTTCGCCCTTGCAGGTAAGCTCGGTCTTTGAAGGAGGGGGGGGTGTGGCATACTGCGTAGCCACACGGGCCTGCAGGGCCCGTCCCGCATTCTTAGCCTAAAAGCCTAGAAATAAGGGCTTACAGGCCCCGTGTCGTGTCAGCCTCAAAGACTGAAAACGAGGGTTTGCAGGCCCTATGTCGTTTCAGCCTAAAACAGGGCTTTTCAGCATGAAACGGAGGGCCACTTTCGGGCCCTCATAAGATCGACCTGCCCTAACACTCAGGCACAAAACTAGGGTTTCGGGAACATGCTATTTTTGGCCTGTTCCCACGACATCCTCAAGCAGGAGCTGCAGCGGCAGCCCCTGACTCCCTTCGGCATTGGCAAGATCAGCCTCCTGGACTGCCTCGCCCTGCAGTCAGGAGGCAGGCCGAGTAGTACATAGGGAGTTCCCATGCACTTCACGGGAGGGTAGTTGGACAGAAGGCAGGAGTAGTCTTCAGGATTCGGCCGCAGCACTCAGGAGGAGCGATGCAGGAGTAGCTTACCGCTAGCAGTAGTCTTCAGCGCTGGGCGCTAGTAGCCATAGCAGTAGTCATCAGCGTTGGGCGCTAGTAGGTGGTAGTAGTAGTGTTGGGAGGGATGGCTGGCGGAGGCTAGGGAGACTTACCTGTGGCGCCATAGCTCCAGCTCCATCTTCGAGGTACCTGCATCAAGGCGCCAACTTCACAGGTTAGTACCGGACTGAGAGAGAGAGAGAGAGAGAGAGAGAGAGTTCTTCTTTTTCCTCTTCTAAGTCCACCATCTCTTCTTCCCCTCTCATTACGTGACTTCTCAGTGTCAGCAGACTACGACAGAGAGAGAGTTGTGACTTGAGACTTGACGACATTGGATCCAGACTCGACATTGGGATTCAGACATTTTGACGAGGGACTATTTGGGCTTGTGCCGAAGACTTGGTGTTGACGACATTCCCATCTTCCCCTCTTCTTCGTCTGTGTATGGTTGGGGCTGGCGCATTCTTCCTGTGTGAGCGTCAGACCCCTTCACACGATGGAATGATGATGATGATGTATGTTCGGGGCTGCATTGCAATATTGATTGTTCGGATCATTGGTATCTAAGTCTTCCGCTACGCTATCTTGTACTTTGTATTGAGAGGTCGGTTCTTGTTCTCGTTTGCACCGTTACAGTATGCAACATTTATATTCGTCTAGGCTTGCATTGTTGAAAAGTGTCTTCACGATCTGGGTTCATTGCACAATGTCTTTCCTTTGTGAGGATCTGGGTCCTCGGAAGGCAGGCCTGACAAATCACGAGAGGCCCTCAACTGTCAATTTCGTATTTGGGGTCCCGGCAGTTTCGACGCGCCAGTTGGTTGAGGGAAACACAGGCCGAGCAGCAAGACATTCCACGCCCTTCCAGGCCTTTCCAAAAGTGCAGGCCCTGTGCGAGAATCGCAACCTCATACACAAGCAGTTGGGAGGCCCAAGCCCAGCAGCAGCATCAGAGGCACAGCCTCTTGGGTCCTACCGGGAGCTTCTGGGCAGAGGCCCAGGCCAGCCGGGCCGCCGAGAGAGGCAGGCTCTTTCCATATAGGAAAGAGCTCGCTGCCTGACCAGGCATTCAACACTTGCATGTTGGTGGAGTGAACACTCGTAGGCTGCTCCTGGCGCTGAGAGGCAAGGTGCTAGCGAGTGCGGTCGTGCAGGAAGCAGGGCGCTGCTGAGGGCAGCGCTATAGCCCAGCCTCCATAGCTGGATGGGCTTGGACTATAGTGAGGCGCAGGGGTGGTCTTCGGGTGTACAGAGGGAAGACGTGGGAGTAGGACAGGAGAGAGAGAGAAGGATGGTGATGATGATGATGTGAGGGCACATACCTGGTATTGGCGACATCTTGATGTACTTCCTGGGCTGCTAACGTCAACAGTTGCATTCTCAATTAGTAGGCACACAGTAGCTGTGTAGGAAGTAGGTTGGGTGCTGAGTGCCAAGTAGGGAGACAGGGCCTGGACACTCTTGTTGGTGGTGGCGAGAGCAAGCTCTCATTGACATTGGTTTCATTGGTGTTATATTGGTGCATTTCTGCTTTCTGGACACTGTGATACTATCTGGCCTGCAATGTGATTGTGTATTCTGGATATTGTCATCTCGCTATCCCTCATTTTCCTTGCAATTTGGTATCGGAGCTGGTTCGAACTGCGCTTCATTGATTCTTCGCAATAGCTGTTTGGTGCTTCRCATGAAGTGTGGGGCAGTGATAAGGCTTGGGCGTTGAATGATAGGCGGCCCAGGGTCGTGTGGGCGCCCTAGGAAGCTATGTGGTGACATGAGGGGTGTACGCTGGATGATGAGAGCTCGCTGATGTGGCATTTAAGCTGAGGTGGAACTGCATTCTGTTGTTGGTTGTGCCGAGGCAAAGACTGGCCATCATAAATGAACATCAGGTTGCCGGTGAGAAATTTGTGGTTGGGGGCAGCATTATGAGGTGCGTTGTTCTCTTCCTTATCTACCCTCTTCATTGCTTCTTACCGTGAGGAAGTGAGCTCTGTCTTGAGAGTCCTTTCAATGTGAGGTGTCGCGAGCGCTCAACCTTGAGAGTCGACATTCTTCCTAGGCAGCAAGCTGGTGGGAGACGGGCGAAGCTTCTGAAGGGCCCTGGATGAAGCACTCTGATGACGGTCACCATGCCAACCCGTTGGGACTAGTACACGCATGCTTCGCCACAAGTCCTTGGTTTTGCTGTTGCGCAATAGAGGCCATGCAGGGCATGCCAGCCCTTTGAACAAACGCTCACCAAACCATCTATAAATATTTATGGCGGGATCCGGTGTTGAACCTTGGCTGTGATCGTTGTCCTGTCTGCGACATTAAATAATTCTTGAGGACCTTGGGCGCTGTCCTTAAACTGCCTCTTGATCAGCCAGATCAAACCAGGTGTAGGGCTCGTTGCATGCGAGGGTAAACAAAGTGCAGGGGCTGGCAGGTTCGGCATGGACTTGGGGCACAGGGGTGGGCAGGATTGCACACTTTCAGACACACCGCTCAACCAGATGCTCAGGGCGATGACACAAAGTGACCACTCAAGAAGGATACGTGGAGAGGGGGGATTTCAGTAATTGTTCCCTGTGGCATTAATTGGACAAATTTGTCGTCCAGCATACATTTCCACAGGTAAACTGCTTTGTTTTTTATTATTTAGTTGTACGGACTTGTTGACAACTGACAGACAACTGCAGATAGGATAGTATCATCCTTGCTGCATTGCAATCTGTATTACAATAATCTAAAAATAGAAGTAGTGTTACCCGTAGGATCCGACATTAGTTGTTGTTGACCACTTAACTGTTTCTCTCTAGGCTGACCGAAAATAGTTGTTGATCATACTCGGTTGGGTGTCACGCTGAGGTAGGGTTCAGTGTGGATTCTAGTTTAGATCACACTCCACTGTAGCTCATGAGTGAAGCTGCTAGTAGTGAGGAGGAGTTAGTGGAAGATCTTAGGGTCACTCGTAGAACTTCTCTCAATCAACCTTTGACCTTCCTAGAGTTAGGTCCAGGAGAGGAAAGGAGGCTGCGGAGAGAAGCTAGGGAAAGGGCGGCATTGTGGAGCGTGAGGGCGGCTAGGTGTATAGCTAGGACAGGTGCGACTATGGCTACCTCGTCTACCATGTCACAAGCCTCTTCTCAGGCCTCTTCGTCAGGAATCAGTCAGAGTGTTTCTCATGTTTCCGTTAGCTAGATTGTTGGCTTGCAAGTCAGCCAACAGACTCAACTCACACCAGAGGATTATGAGATCCTCCATGCAGAAGAGCTTCATGATGAGCTGCGGCGGCAGTTGAGAGAGGCAGCAGAGAGGAGACAGCTTGCTATCTTGAGAAAATCTAGACTAGGGAGTAGGAGACAGGAGTTAAGCAAATTAGAAGCATCAGATGAGTCGACACTTGACCCTGCGATGCAAGCTCTGCGTAACTCGCTTCTATGCGTAGCGGAAACTCAAGTTGTTCAGCAGGAAGTGCTGGCTGAACTAGTGGCAAGCCAGAAACAAATTTTGGCTACACTGCAGGCTCCTCGTCCCTTCATGAGGCAGCCTCGGTATGTTGTAGCTCCCCCTTCGGTTGCGGGCCCCTCAATGACGCCGTCGCCGACAGGGCCCTCTTTCCCCTATGTTTGCCATGACCCCTCCAAGTGGTCTAGTAACAACTGGTGGTCCGCTCCTTAGAGCTTCTACCGTACCATCCACGACGGTGATAACTACAGTCCCATCGTCAGGACAGGCCCAGGTTAGCGTGCAGCAACCTGTCTCAGTGGCCATGCAGCCACTGCAGCAGTTTCCTGGGCCAATCCAGCCTCTGCAATGGATGCCCAAGATACCCTTGCTGAGTCCTAAGCCCTTCTCTGGCGACAGGAAGAAGGACGAGGACTTGGATACCTGGGTGAGGACTGTGCCTACCTATGTGAGGCACAAGCTCACAAGGCCAGAGCAGGAAGTCATAGTTGCTGCCTCCTTTTTAGAGGGATCGACAGCGCGTTGGTTGAACGGGTTAGTGCAGCAACAGGGCTATGGTAAGAACTTCGATGCCTGGGCTCAGACCCGGATGTTGGAAGACTTCGTACGGACCGTGTACAAGAGGTGGCATGATCCTCAAGGGGCTCAGAAGGCCACTGGCGCGATTAACGATCTTTGTGCCAAAAGGTACAAGAATGTACGCGAGGTCACAGACGCCGTAGAACGTCTGATCGCAGTACCTGGTGTGCGTTTTGACCCGCGGGTACTCGCATATTACTTGAGATGTCTGCCCTTAGACGTTAAGACTAAGCTGGTGGATGAGGTCTACATTGACCAATATAGCTTCGCTACTTTCAACAAGAAAGCCTTAGATATAGAGGCTAAGCTGGGATCCGCATATGAAGGCCAAGCAGATGGTAGGAAGAAGAGACTTCGCCAAGACTGGAGGAAGAAAGGTCAACTCATGTTTGTCGACCATGATGGTCAGGCAACTGGGATTGACGACTTCACAGACTTAGGGGATGTGACAGAGCAGGATGGGGCCAATGAGGCTTCGGATGGGGGAGTCGTGGCGCCCATTAAAGAAAAAGCAAGGGGGATCGGGAAGCAGAAGGTAGGCCGGTTTACGGGTCAGGGCGACCAAGGAACACCCGCATGGGTCAAACTTGGTTTAGACTACGAGGTGTGGAAAGACAGAGTTGCTAGGGGCATGTGCATGAACTGTGGCAACTATGGCCACACGTGTAGAACGTGCCGAGGCAAGAAAGTCGCTACGAAGGTAGCCTCTCCAACTGTGGTGAGGTTATCTTCGAACCCTGGCAGTGCATCTGCGAGCACTTCGCAAGGAAACACCTCGGGCCAGTAGGAGTGTTAGCCGCTCTTACTCGTGCTGAAGTGGTAATGTTGCTTTCCCCTCTTCAGGCGTTGGCCAAGGCTAGTGACCCATAAATCGTCTCGCAGATACATTCAGACCCACTGACCCTTTGTTCGAGAGATGTGTCTGAGTCCCTAGAGGAGTTACAGTCTGAGTGGTCAGGGAAGGACCCCAAAGATTCTTGGGCGATGATCATTAGAGGTCCTAAGGGTGACCATTTCGTGGTAGAGGTTGATGTAGGTGGCCGCAAAGTGAGTGCCTTCACAAACATAGGCTCTACATGGAATTTCATCAGTTGCTTGTGTGGATAGACTGCGCTCAGGGGACCAAGTGCAGCGGCTTAGCAGAACTGTAGCTTCTACGCTAGCCAACAAGCACCAAATGTTAGTTAAAGACTATGTCAAGGACGTAGTCTCCTCCTTCTCTTATGGAGGAGGGGAAGTGGGACACAAAATTTCATTCCTCGTCAGCGACGAACTATCCTTTGATATGTTGCTAGGCATGTACTACCTCGAGGTTGCTCAACCTCAGTTCGATTGGGATAGGAAGGTGTTGATACAGAAGCTGCCAAATGGTAGGACCATTAGATTACAAAAGTTCAAAGCTAGCAGTCTAGTGGAGAACTACGGCTGCATGCGTGCCTCCTCTTTCTATAACTACTATATGCAGAATCGCGAGGAGGGCATGTATCTAGTTTTTGTCTCTGAAAAAGGGGAGGCCGTACAAACACCCCCAGAGATAGAATCAGTCGTCGCTTAGTATCCCGACCTTTTTTAGGAGTCCACAGGAGTGGTTGAAAGGGAGGTGGTCCATGCAATAGAGGTTGTCCCCGGTAGTAAGGTACCTAGAGGACGCATCTATAGGATGTCTCCCGCGGAGTTGTATGAGCTCCCATCCGCCAGAGAAGGGATGGATTCAGCCCCCGCATCGACGACCTACTGGATAGAGTGCAGGGATGCCAGTACTTTACTAAGATAGATCTGAAGTCTGGATACCATCAAATTGCTATTAGACCTGAGGACCAGCAAAAAAACGCTTTTAAAACCAGGTACTGTCTCTACGAGTTTGTGGTGATGCCCTTTGGCCTATGCAATGCCCCTGGGACATTCCAGCACGCCATGAATAGGATATTTCATGATTACTTAGACAAGTTTATCGTAGTGTACCTTGACGATATCCTTATCTTTAGTATGACTGTAAAGGAGCACGCTGAGCACTTAAGAATAGTGCTAGGTCTCCTAAGACAACACCAGTACAAGGTAGATTTGGAAAAATGCGAGTTTGGTCGCACCAAGATCTTGTACTTGGATCATGAAGTCTCCGGGGATGGGTTGAGGCCGGATGATGCCAGAGTGGCCAGCGTACGGGACTGGCCCAGACCTCAGACTGTTACTGAGGTCCGATCGTTCTGGGGGATGACGGGCAACTATCGTCCGTTTGTTAAGAACTATAGTACTATAGCTTCCCATTAACAGATTTGACTCGACTTGACACCCCTTGGGAGTGGACTGAAGAGTGTGAAGCAAGCTTCAAGAAATTGAAGTATGCCTCGATTCACATCGAGGACACCCTGACGACACCGGCGGAGCTCTTCGACAAGGCCGCGCAGATTATTGTCACGAACAAGGAGGTTATAAGAACCTCCACCGTTCGTTTGCGACAGACCCGAATAGAGATCAGCATCAGCCAAAAGTGGTCGTGGTCGTGGCGGCAACGCCAAACGACCAAACTAGCGAGGTCGTGTCTGCCAGTGAAGGGGACAGACTCGTAGCCGCTCGGGATGGTGGCCGCCCCGACAAAGGCCGAGGACGCGGCAAGGCGAAGACAAACATCGCATCTTGACGCAGCAGCTCCACCCGGGCCCCACGCAGCAGCTCCAGCCCCATGGTCTCACTACGGTCTGTTCGAGCAGGCATACAAGGCACACACGAGATTCCACTATTGTCTATGGTGTAACAATGATCTCCACGACACAATGGGCTGCCCGTCGAAAGACAAGGGCAAATCGGGAAACTGAGCACCGTCGGGAGTGACTCGACACACTCTCGACGCCTTCGGAACCGGTCGCTTCGCGGGTGACCGCCCTTCGTTTCGAGGCACATGCGGAAGTCGATAGTCCTCTTTTATTTTCTTACGAGGACTATGCTGCCCGTCTCATTCCTATGTTGGGTACTCGTGCTCAAGGATAAGACTTGTGTGCGGCATCTTCTTCGTCCGACAACGGCAACTTATCGTCTTCAAGTGGTTTTTCACGAGATTCGGCGCGCGAGTTCAACATAGAGGTATTGGACCCGCTCACGTCCGAGGATTTCGCATGGCTTCCTCTCCCGACCACGGGCCGCTTGTCGGGACCGCAATGCGCAGCACTATGCGCTCATCTTCACACGTACTTATCCTTCTATACACCATTAACTTCGCCGGCATCCTTGCGTATGTTACCAATGTGGCCCGCGAGTTTCGCAAGCAGCGTTACGATGACAACAACGCACCGCTCCTCTATGTCCGCATCCTAGTTGGGCAAGCGTCCTGCAACGCTTTGTTGGATAGCGGCACGTCTCGCAACTTCATGAGCCAAGCCTTTATGCAAAGGGTTGGGCTTGGCACATAAGTTCGAAGAAAGGCAAACCCGACGACGATCAAGTTGGCAGACGGAAGGACATAACAACTTATCGACCGCTTCATCGAGGTTGTACCGGTCTATTTCGCACCTCATGCATGCGAACCAGTGACGTTCGACATTTTGGACACGGACTTCGACATTATTTTGGGAATGTCATGGCTTGGAAGTGAGGATCACAGGGTCAACTTCCACCGGCGGACTCTTACAGTTCGGGATGCTTTCGGCGCCGAAGTGCGGTGTACTATTCCTCTTCCACACCCTTCGATCCGATGCCAAGTGGTGACGGCCAAGTCATTCCGGGCTACTTGTGCTTACGAGCAGCCCGACGAAATCGGCCTATGTTTCCTATGGACCGTCGCGGTAGCCAACTCTTCACCCACGGACTTGTCTTCGGACCCCTGTGTGGTGCGGTTGCTTGACAAATTCGCCGACATCTTCGAGTCACCTACCGGTGTGGTGCCGGATCGGCCGATCTCTCACCAAATCATTTTTGAGGCCGGTGTCGTGCCGCCGAAAGGTTGCATTTATCGCATGAGCGAGGAGGAGCTTACGGTCCTCCGCGCGCAACTCCATGACTTGTTGGACAAGGGTTGGATTCACCCTAGTAGCTCCCAATATGGAGCGCCAGTTCTCTTCGTACGGAAGAAGAACAAGGATCTACGATTGTGCATCGACTACCGCAAGCTGAACGCGAAAACCGTCAATAATGCGGGGCCTCTTCCTCGTATCGACGATCTTCTTGAGCGATTGGGTGGCGCGAAGTATTTTTCCAAGTTGGATTTCAAGTCGGGATACCATCAGATTTCGATCCGGCCAAACGATCGCTACAAATCCGCGTTCAAGACGGGGTATGGGCGTTTTGAGTGGGTGGTCATGCCTTTTGGCCTCACTAACGCCCCGACGACATTTCAAGCGGCAATGGCCAACGAGTTTCGTGCGATGTTGGACCGGTTCGTGCTGGTCTACTAATACGACATTCTCGTCTATAGCCGGTCACTGGAGGATCATCTTGAGCACCTTCGACGAGTGTTGGAGATGCTTTGCCACGCCAAGTACAAAGCCAACCGCGACAAGTGCGAATTTGCCCGGCAAGAGCTGGAATACTTGGGCCATTTTGTCACACCGGAGGGCATCAGTCCGTTGTCGGACAAGATTCAAGCCATCCAAGAGTGGCCGGAACCGCGGAACATTACGGATGTCCGTTCGTTCCTTGGCCTTGCCGGCTACTACCATCGTTTTATCAAGGGATACTCGAAGATCGCGGCCCATTTGACCAAGCTCCAATGCGAGGATCGACCGTCAGACTTCGGAGAGGATGTGCGGGAATCATTTTTGGCTCTCAAAGCCACGCCATTATCTACAGAGGTCTTGCGCATGTACAACCTGCTATTACCAACACGTCACTACGGATGCGTCCGGCTATGGCATTGGTGTCGTCCTCGAGCAACACGATGGCGTGGATTGGCACCCGGTCGAGTATTTCAGCAAGAAAGTGCCCGTCGTGCACTCCATTGATGATGCACGAAAGAAGGAGCTCCTCGCCTTCGTCCACGCGCTCAAGCGGTGGCGGCACTTCCTCCTTGGTCGAAGTCAATTCCGATGGGTAACGGACAACAATTCGTTGGTCTTTTACAAGACCCCAGACACCGTCAACAGCACCATCGCTCGATGGATGGCTTTCATCGACCAAGTCGACTTCTTTCCCGATCACATTCCGGGCAAGCCGTTTTGCGGATGCCCTTTCACGGCGTCCGGATCATTGTACCGCGGTCTATTCAACCTTCGAGATCGACGACGATCTGCGGGACAGCTTCATCCACGGCTACCAAGCCACCCCCGAGTTTCGCGACAAGTACGCAAATTGCTCCTCTCCTAATCCAGCGCCTTCTCACTCCCGGATCCAAAAGGGGTACTTGCTTGTCCACACGCGGGGGAAGGACCTTCTTTGCATACCGAGTGACTCTCACTTGCGTACACGGCTTCTTGGCGAGTTTCCCGATGCTCCCGCCACCGGACACTTTGGCGTCAATCACAGGATTGGCCGACTTCGCGAGCGATTTTTGTGACCCGGCCTTCTCGGTGACGTCACACGTTATTGCGAGTCATGCTAGGTTTGCCGACGCTGCAAATCCAGCAACCATCGTCCGTACGGCGAGTTGCGACCATTACCGGTCCCTTTGCGCTGAAGGGAAGCGATTGCCATGGACATTACCAGGCCGTTCCCCAAGCACAAAACTGGTGTGGATGGGATTCTCACGGCGGTCCATGAATCACCAAGTTTGCCATGTTTTTGCCTATCATG